AATGATAATTTATGTCAGTAAGAAAAAAGGCTTACAGTTATCAGTTGTTATAAGTTCTAATCTAATCTATTAACTTTGAAACTAAACAGCAATTGTTTGTGAATAGTATTATATTTCATAAAAATGTATCAAGTTTGGAGCATAAACTGATTTGAAACTATTATCAATCACTAGATATTGTAAGATTATTATATATACTTCACTATTCGAGCTAATCACATGTTCAATCTGACTTGAATATTTCCTGTTGCATTAATACAGTAGTCATTTTATGTTCAAGAAATTATATATACTATACTTCTGATATGTGGTAGATTTAATTAGTATGTTTACTTACTTGAAGATAGAATAAATTTACATTCAAACATTTATGTGATGATTTCTATTTTCTTATTTTTGACAGTTTCAAATCAGCCAACTTCGTTAAGTATACAGTATTGTGGTATGAATTCATGTCGGTTAACATGGCTTCCACCTAAAGAAGGTTATGAATGGGGCACATTAATTGAATATCGTGTCTTATATTGGAATCAATCGACACCAAGTATAGTGAATGATATTAAAGTACTTCCAAATGTTCAAGAGTGTTTATTATCACCATTGGGCAATGGAACTGTTTATAATGTAAAAGTAGGTTGTCAATTGTTAAATTTATAGGTTTAGTTTTACTATAACAACATGTTCACAAATCAGTCATTCATTTAGGCAAATGTGATTTCACTTCATTATCATTGTGAACTTTTCTAATGATGTTCTAATTAAATAAATATTTGTTCGATTTTACATTGATCTCACAAATGTTGGTTCTGTTCTAATTGTACATAGAGTGCATTCAATGTCCCCATATATCTTTGAATTTCTCAAGGCACAAACAACTGTAGTAATTAAAAAAAATATTTCATTTAGTAATACTTTATATTTAAACAAGCTTCGAGATTTGTAAAGATTGTAGTGCGCGACTTTTATGTTGAGCACACAGGGCTTGTCTCACCTTTGGACAATTTAATCAATCCGTTCTTCCTGAGTCATTATTCACTCGTCTTTTGACCTTGCCAACTATTCGCTTATAACATGAGTGTGTGTGCATTGCCTACTTCGCTTACCACATGTCTATCTTACTTTTGTCTGACTCTAGATACTTAGTCAAGGCTCATCGCATTTAGTTGGCTTCCTCGCCTTCACTTCTCTTTGTCTTTGTTGTACATTTTCTATTCTCATGTCTGTCTACATGAACGATTGAATGAAATAAACTCATCCAACCGAATCCGTATTTGGCTTTTAATTACAACGGGGTTCGCTTAAATATGGTACACGGAAACTGAAGGAGAAATTTATATCATAGCATACTCGGAAGTACTTAAATAAAGGAATCAGCTCACGGGTCACTTAAAGATCTCCAGTATTTAAAAATTTTTTTTTTATAGGTAATTAGATAATTTCCAATGCAAATTAATACATACAATTTTGTATAAGGAACTTGTTTTATGGCGCACTTAATCATCAGATTTAATTAAGTAACTGCTGAAGGTCAAGATGGTTTGAATTAATTTTCCTGGTTAGTGTAATCATCCAGAAGATACAAGTATTTACTAACAGTTGTCTACGCAAAATACTTCGGATCCATTAGCCAGATATCTTCAGCAACAACCTACTGTAGGAGAGAACAAACCAGATTCCAGTAGAGGAGGAAATCAGGAAGAAGCGGTGGAAGTAGATAGGACACGCATTGAGGAAAGCACCCAACTGCGTCACAAAATAAGCCCTCACTTGGAACCTTCAAGGTCGAAGGAAAACAGGAAGGCCAAGGAACATATTACGCCGAGGAATATCGACAGACATGAGAAGAATGAACAAAAATTGGACAGGACTGGAAAGGGAAGCCCAGGACAGAGTTGGTTGGAGAATACTAGTCGGTGGTCTATTGTACATTGGGGGTAACAGGCGTAACCGTACAACTACTACGGAAGGTCAAAAACCATAACTATGCAAGCCCAGTGTCTATTGAGGGTTTCATTTTTGTCATTTATTCATTTTTGATTAGTTTGAACTCCCGTTTTACATCATTTTGTACACTGATATTTCGTGATTAGCTGTTTCTCTCTCTGAAATTTCTCTCACTTTGAAAAAAAATGCAACATATCACACATCTAGGTTCAAAGTGTATTTACTTACGGTTCAGCGAGCTCAGAGATTATAACATTCAATACTTTAACATACTTCAATATTCAATTGATCAATCGTTCATATTCAGAAATTTCAATTCAATGGAATTTCAATCAAACAGCACCAATGTTTAGTGTAAGTTCTGCTTTATTTTTACAAGTAACTATTTTCTCTCTCGATAATAATTTCACGAAACACAGATATATTACTCAAATCATAATCGTTAAATATATATATTTCAGACATTTATTGTAAGCAAGCGTTGATTTATTATTAATATAATGTACTATGAATAATCTCCAAACACACAACATACCTTGTAAAACCATATTTATCAGGAGAAAAAATACTATCATCACCAAAATTTCATTGGTCAAGTGCGTCATAAATAAAAGAGGTGTGAAAATTTATCTCTCACTCAGAATGTGGTGTTGATAATTTTTTTGTAGTTAGAATCCCATCATAGTTAACTCTCGAAGGCGAATCATTTTTAGTCACTTTTACTTTCACCGCTTTACTATCTACGTATAGAGGGAAGACAAATGAAATATTAAACGTTTTATTGTCAAAAGCAGATGAAATAGCTTTACAACTCTTGGCCTAATAAAGTTAATGTCAATGATGACTTTTGCTAGTATATAGTACTCTTCAACAGTGCATGAGACCAAAACGCGTGAATTCGATTGTCTTTTGCAGTGTAGTGAAAGTACACTGCTGAAGAATCCATTATTTTATTTGTACAAATCGTTTCATGACTACATTGGTAAAATTTTCTATACTGGTTTAATACGTTCTGTGATTAATTATTCCCTCAATTTAGTCTAATGAAAACCATGATCAATGTTTGACAAATTCATACAGTCTAATCATCAATAACATAAATCCTTTTTTCTCATTTATGATTTATAGTTTTCCTTCGTTTACTGTTTAGGTAATTTTGCATTTTAATGATTTATCAATGTAACCATAGTGACTGTGTTGTCCTTGGTAATCTATTACACATTGAACAGTTTATTTCTGTCTGATTTTAAGTTTTCTGATTTGTAAAATTGTAAAACTAACTGTTTCTTGTACTTTTGTAATATATTGAATAGTGTTTCACATCAAAGTAGTTACACACATTTCCTCAGCAATAATGAATATGGGGAATATTGATCGAAGATTTATTTAGTCTTGATGTTTTATCAACTGTACCAAAGAAATCACCTCAATAATTCGAAGATCAAATAATAAATAATCATATCGATGAGTCATATTCTAGATGTGACCTTCGAATACTTGTGTATCTCATGCATGCATGCATGCATGCATGTATGCACACCCATCCTACTTACATTATGATAAATGGGTGGAGTCTTTAAATAATTGATTGTATTAAATCCTATCTCTTCTAGCCCAATAATCGAATTGTTCGAAACTTCAAATACATATATCCTATTCATAATATTTAATTGAGTTTGTATTAGTTATTTACAAATATCAATTCAAAACAATAACGTTTGTCTTTATTTTTATAGGCTTGTTTTACCTTCTCTACCTTAATTCAAATGTCTATCGTATATTATATTTTATTGAGGATGAGAATTAGCATATATTTTATGTAATTATGAATGAATGAGGCGTAATTCCATCAGAAAGAAATACGACACAAGGCAACGTGCGAATATTTACAAAAAACAAAAAGGCTGCAGAAAATAGGCTGAAAAACGTATCGATTTCCTGTGAATTAATATTGATTGGCTATATAATGTCTAGAAAAATTTTTAAAACCCAGTAATTGTCATCATTCGTGAAATTAGTTACTTGGTTCAAATCACTGTGTTTTATATCTGTTTGTTTACTTAAAAAAAGCTTTCACTTCAAGATTTACTGCTTGATAATGAGTGAAAACGTGGGTTTTAGGCGGAAACTGTCTGTACCCATTCAGTTGAAATTGGATTCGATATGACTATCCGATTATTGATATACGTCGTGATAAAACATTAACTTCAGATAAATCTCCATACTACAGTAATAATCTTATGACTACATTCAAAATGAAATTCTGAAGCTTCTAGTAGAAAGTTGTAATCTTTACAGAAAACCAAATCGATGAGCCTACATCTGCTTAGGTCTCTATTACTAGAAGAAGCTTGTTGAATATTGTAAATTAATTGAAGTTGGTAAGTTTGGAATAGTAATGATTAGTTTAGTGAAGTGATGAAAATGTTCCCTACAGAAACTGGAAGGTACTGTTGAGTTACTTCAATTTAAAAATAAATTTTCTTTGATTATTGATAATAGATATCAAAAATCACTATCGAACATGATACTCATAGAGATGAGAAGACTGAGGCAGGAGAGGAAGATTGCTTTTGCACCATTTGCTTTCCGTTTTCCTCTTCTGACCGTGAGACTTCTTCTTCCACGTCCCTTCTTATACTACTTATATCGTTCGTATAAGTAGCACACACCACAGAGATGGTAACATACTTTTTTCGCGCTCTTCTTCGCCTTCGTTTTTTCTTCTTTCTAACTGCATATCATAGAAACGATAAAAGAATTGTTTTAGAAAACAAGAGGAACTTACATTTTCGCTACACTTATGATCTGTCTATGATATTGCTTTCAGTTTTAGTTTACTATCATCTCTCAGTGGTTATTTCTTCATAGTGTTTTTCTTAATTTGAATGTTTGTCAACTAACTAGGTGATCATTTAACCTCATCGTATTTTGTCGAAATATTTAATTAAATTATGTTTTTTTCTGACGATTGCACACAGTATAGGGGCTGATTGGTGTTTGTGTCGTGTTGCCGTAGTGATTGTCTAACTGGTGGTCAATTCATCTCAGTGTGATTTATTCATTACGCGTATTTTTGTACGTGTGCACTCATGTTTGTGTATTTATGTATGTACAAGGTTAAACTGCGAAGGTCGAAGATTTTATTATCGAATAATAAGTTTGATAACACCATCTATTACAAACAGAATTTCTAGAATAGGGACAGACATTTTCAGCGGAATTACTTATTTAGTAATACATTCGACGCCAAGCCCGGATAAAATAGAAAAGGGTTAGGCATGGGATGAGTGATCCCATCTCGTAGAAAACTAACTCGCTGAAAAACGCTAATCAGAAGAAATTATTTAAATCATTTAAACTCTTCCCTGGGAGTCGGAAGGTGTTTTCATTTAAGAGTTATGACATCTCATGATGTAAGCCGAGTTCCTTCGGAAGTCACCAGGCCGGTGCCCCTCCAACAACCAGATCAACGATCAATTTGGGTGCACGGGATGTTTGCACATTATGAGAGACAAGCAGAGTCATCCAAGTTGCTGCCAAAATGAACCTGGTGGTTCATGGAATCAGCAGAACACATTGGACGCAGGTGGGACTAGTAAGACTAGCTTCAGGAGAGCTGCTGTTATAATCCGGCCACAAAAAATGAAATGCTACACATATACAAGAAGTATTGATGCTGTTTAAACAAGAAGAAAAGGCACTATAGGATGGAAATCTCAAGGACCCCAGGATCACAGGAGCCTCCTTCAAAACAAATAAAGAGGGCATTACATTGAATATTATTCGGTACTATGTCCCTGTCAACGATAACAATCAGGATTTTAAGGATCAGTTCTGTGAGAGGCTGCAGTAAATCGTCGAGAACTACCTAACAAAGGACTTGACAATTATGTTGGGGGACCTAACCGTCAAGATTGAAATGAACAATCGTGGATATGAAGACATGATGTGACGACATAGACTAGGAGAAAGGAACGAAAATGGTGAGATGTTTGCAAACCGATCTGTCTTCAACAAACTGGTCATAGGTAGCAACATATTCTCACACAAACTCATACACAAAGCTACATGGATATCACTACATCAAACTACACAGAACCAAATCGACCATATCTACATCAGTAAAAAATTCAGGAGGACCATGGCGACCTGTGAACAAAGCGAATAGCCGATATAGCTTCTGACTGTCAGTTGCTGGTCGCGAAAATCAAACTGAAACTCAAGAAGCACTGAACAACGGGGCGGACAACGTCACAAAAGTTTAATACGACCCTTAATCGGGGTATTAGCAAACTCAACGAATATGAGGTAGCACTCAGCAATAGGTTAAAGAGAGGAGGAACAAGAAGTCACTCATCAATATCAGCCGAATAAGAACAGAGAAAGCCAAGTCACAAGCTGAATATAGAGAAACTAACAATCAAATGAATAAGAGCATCAGAGTTTACAAACGTAAATATGTGTCAGATCTAAAAGCGAAAGCAGAAACAGCTGCAAGAGAAGGAAACCTGAGACAACTATAAGAAACAAGAAAGAAGCTCGCTGGAAAATATCGTAAGCGAGAACGAACAGTGAAAAGCAGGGAAAGTAGAGTAATCACCAACTTTGAATAACAGCGAAATAGGTAGGTCGATCACTTTAAAGAAGTCTTGGATCAACCAGACTCACTGAATCCACCCATGGACCTTCCGATCGATGTTGATCCATCAACAATTGACGAAATATGCATGGTCATCAGACAAATCCAGAGTGGTAAAGCAGAATACCTAGACATTCAAGCTGAGGGATTGCAAGCAGAAATAGCAGTAACTGCAAAATTGTTTCACGTTCTCTTTAGCAAGATCTGGGATTAAGAACAAGTACCAACAAACTGGAAAGAAGGACACCTCATCAAGATACCAAAGAAAGGTGATTTCGTCTTTCGTGATGAAAACTCTCTCATGATAATCGCTTGCTTGCTGAGTGTTGACCAGCTTCCAGAATAACTCACAAATTATTGAGAGTCTATTGTCTATATTGCGAATAAATGCTGTTACTTACTAAGTGATGGGAGTGAATGATGTTGATGTTGTTATACATATTCTAAGAGATTTTAACTCTCAAAAAGACTAGTCTTCGTCCGAATAGCTCAGTGAAAACTTAGTGACTTAGGTTATAACCTCTTAAATATTATGGGTAAGCCATGCTAATGAGTTTCTGCTAAAACGTAACCTAGGTTTCAGGTTTCCCGTCAACCATATACAACTAACCAAAAGTAAAATATCGTTTACTATGTGTTAATTCATTTGCACTCATTGCTTAGTTCTAACTTCTTCGATTAGGATCCGACCATCGCTAGGGAATAAACAAAGGGCATTCATCAAATATTCAATGACCAAGCAACTGTTATACAGGGGATTTAGAGAAGCTGATAATCGGAACCATCAAACGAGCCAGTAGTGTCATGTTTAGAGTAACTTGAAAGTTTAAGATTCGAGCTCACATAGAATGATGTATGAGCATTGATAAGGAATATTGAGATGAAATCAAAAGTGTAACTACTATTGTTGTGCGGTTTTCACTTGAGATCGATAGGTGGAAGGAAGAATTCTCTACGCTATTTATGGTTCCAATGTTTTGGATAACATCATTGACATTTTGCGCTTATCGAATTTGTTTTAAAAACCGAGAAATACCATTTAAAAATAGAACATAAACAGTTCAGTTTCATCACATAAGGCTATGTTCATGATTCTTAGTAACCTGTCAAAGACAATAAACTTTTTCTCTCTTTGATAATCAGGACTTTGATCATACCCTTAGAGATGCGAACTAAAAAAACTAAAACTTTCTAGCCTCTTCGAACTTGGTTTAAATTTCCATCTATCTGAGAACCTTTATCAACCTTTATTCCTCACTATATTTCACCTTTTACTCCGAATCGAATATTTTCTGTCAGTAAACTATCCAATCGTGATGGATTACTAGAATTCATCCCATCATGTTATAAAACTTATTTTTATTAGTTATATTTTTAATCGATATTCAAAATCTCCACTATTAATTAAGTCGTTTTTTTTCTCAGCCTATTATAATTCTTGGTAAATTATTCCTGTCATTCAAAAATACGATAAAAATTGTCAGTGATAGAATAAAAAAAAAACAGATTCTTGCAATTTTATAGCTAAGTAGTGTATATTGTGAACCAAAAACTCCATACGTGTTTGAGCTTTCCACTCCTGAGTTAGTTTATAAAAGTATTTTCTTGACAAAATTTTGTATTATTTCCAGTCTCCGCGATAGTATGATAAAAAGTAAATAGGAACCTCTATAGTTTGTAGACATGAATCGATTGCTTAGTAAGTGATTCTACTCTTCAAGCAAGTAACATTTACATCGGTAAATCTTTTCATTTGACTTGAGGCCGTTTCCATTTTACTTCTTTTGCTTTTGAGGCTACTTGTAAGCATTTAAGTAGTTGAAGATTTTTATGACAATTTTCGGTGCTATAAATCTAGTTACCATAACATCAAATCTCTGTTCCTATTCAAATCTTAATTTATTTGTCCATTAATCAATGAATGAATATATAAACTTCATAAAGCAAAGTGATTTGCTCTGAATATGTATTGATTGACAAGTTTAAGTTACATGGCTTTTTATAATAACTCGTTTCTATAGTACACTAAATAATGACATTAGTTCCTGATTGTTACTGTTTAATTTTTAAGTTTATTTAGTGTCATTTATATTTTCTAATGTTGGGCGTATACATACTTTAATGCTTGGCTAATTTTTTCGTTTTCAAAGATGATTAGCTAGTCCTTAGTCAGTTGTTTATTTATTTTTATATTTACAGTAGCTGTGGTAATACGTTGTATGGTTTTGTTATGGTCGTCACTTTCTATGCTTGAAACTATTACTGGTTCACTTTAGTCCATAAAGGAGAACAAGACAATGAACCGTGTCCGAGTAGGCTACTCTGATCCGTTGACCCAAAGGGACTAACGGAGAAGTCTTGATATATCGTAGAAAGTGTATTCTAGAAACACCCAGCAAGCACAATGAACTCAAGCACATAAATCGCGTTTGTTTATGCTTCATAGTAACGTCACTGGAAGAGTCACAAAAATAGCACACTAAAATAACACAGTAACCGAACACAGCCAAGCATTTTTGTAGTGGGAAATGTGATTTCAAGGTCAACTGATCAGCCCATGAATAAAATCCAAGATTAAGACATTTATCGAACGAGTTCTGGGGGTCTAACGTCCCCAACAGGTTTCCTCTAAGTTAATTTTTAATTTGCTCTATCTCTCTACGCACTATTTACTAATTTTCTCTTGAAATATTTAATCTTTTAATTCATTATAGATCTCTGTAGAAATGATTGAAACGTTACTTCCATTTACTCCAGTATTTTCAAAGCGAATTTTCAGATTAGTAAATGATGGCAGTGGTATTCATCAATATAAACTTACCAATTTACCTGCTAGTTCTCGATTTCGAATTATTGTCGATGCGATTGGAACAAATAGTAAGTGATTCTAAGACAGTAAATATTTACTTTTAAAATATTCGTGTTCATTGTTCACTGATTTTCAGTTTTGAAGATTAGTTCTAAAGTAATTTTATGAATCTCTTTCACTTATGTAATGGACTCAATTCATATGGAGTAAATTTTGATACTGATGAATTATAATGTAGATATCACTGTGAATTTTGTATGTCAAGATAATCTTGTAGATTTTTCAACGAGTTACAATCAACTGGTTTAATAGAATAATCAATAGGCTTCTAGTGATCTTGTCAATAGCTGATATACTCAACTGATGATTTCAAAACCAAACAAAAACCCTAATGATCTCTCTATCAAAAAAATAATTACAGGAAATCCGCCGACAAAATGCCTATATAGAGTCATTGGATGACCATTTTTCTACAACAACAAGCTAATCTCGTTTGCTGTTACAGTTTTGAGAGCAATTGTAACTTTGCTGTTGTACACAAGATACGTCTTTTGGAGGAACTTGAAAAGGCTTGTATTAGAAATGATACTGACTACATTGGATCATAACTGCAGTGTCCAAAAAAGATACAAAATATTATTTAATTGCATCCTATGTTACATCTAAATTTTTTAACCTAACCGTTCTTTCGTGGATAAGATTTATTTAGTAGAATACAAATATCTTAAATTGTACATGTATGCTTGACTAGTGATGCGAAACTAAATTATATCAGAATGTTAATAATGTCTTTCTTTCTATTGATTACTAGTCAGTTCTTTCAGCTTACTGCAAACAAAAATAGTAGAAATGCTTCTACTGTGTATGCTTACAAATTAATGCAAGTGATCAGTGAACAAGTATAGAATATCTGAAGACAATTATTGTTGCATAAAGTAATCTCACTTGTTTACTTCATAGTTTTGAATTTACAAGTAAACAACTCCGGATGAACATTTTTTTACAGACAGATGATTCTGTATGTTGAATCCATTAAATTCAACAAGAATTCTGTTGAAAAGTAGGCAGATTATATAGTAAATACAGTAAAATCATTTGACGTTTCCGTAGAGAAACTTACAATTGTATAATATGATTGACTTTATACTCAAATGAGATACATTTCACTGGGAACTTATCGGAATTAGCCTGAAACGTATATATTCATAAAAATCATTTTATGTTACTTCATTGTATTGGTGACATTAGATTCCCAAAACTCTCTTGGAAAAAGTCCTAATTTTTTAATTTTATTCTGAAGTTTTGAATTTCTGTTTTCGCGCCAAGGACGCTAAGTTGACCTTCAGCTTACATTTCTCTGTCAGAAATCCCTGACTGTCATTAGTTGACGGATTAATTTTTAGTACGCTATTTTTTGGCTCTTCCAAGGGCGTTCCTATCATGTATGTATAAGCTCGATTTGTGTGTTCAGCAACCTCGTATATTCTGGGTGCCTGTAGAATACATTCTCTACTCCTTATCAAGACTTCTTCATCTAGTTAGCGGGGTTCAGGGACAATCGGGTTAGAATAGCCTATCGTGTCACTGAGTCATCGCTCTTCATTCCGTTTACCGAGTAAGGTGAACTTGTAATAGTTTCGAGCATATCATCTTGACAAAATCATCTAAACAGTTGCAGTGGGTTTAATATGTGCTTTTTTTAGTGAAAGGAATAGCGTGCTATTCATTCTGCTCTAATCTCTCATTATCAACACTTTGTAATTATTGACCGATAAGTTCAGGATGAACGTATACAACCTAATCCATCATACACTTACCACACATTAGAAATATGTATTACTTTAGAGAATTCCATTTCATGGTAGTAAAGTTAACCAAGTCAATTTATTCACATTGCAAGTTTTCAGATTACGCTATAGTAGCATCTATAGGCCAAACTGTAAAAATGTATAAGTAAAGTAAGTTTTATTCAAACTGAATTTATTTCCAGATAAATTTAATGAAAATGATTCATAATTCACTTTTAATTTATAGTTACAATTGCTGAACTGAAGCTTTTCTTTTTTTTTATGAAATATCATCATTCGCTTAGATACATCAATTGGATCATCATTTTTGAATGTATGGACAAGTCCTGCTCCTTTTCAAAATTCAAGAAATTTCACTTTTAATCCATTAGTTCCAGTATTCACTGGTTCATTATTAGTAAATGTAAAATTTCCAACAGTCAGTGGTTATGAAGGTGGTCCATTGAATGGTTTTTATATTGTTGTTGAGAAAAGTTCAACTACTAATCGTGTACGACGTTCAGCTTGTGAGTTTGTTTGTTTGTTTGTGTTCAGTGTTTTTTGTTTGTTTGGAATGAAGTTATTTTGTAGTGCCTCCACATATACTCGGGTCCGCTTACATCTGGTTAAGCCGTTTCGATTAATTTATTTAACCAAACAATTTGTATTGCAACAATTTATATGTACCATTCGTTCTTATTATTGTCTGGTTTGTATGAGCTCACATGACGTGTTCCACTTGTCATATGACCTTGTCAACTATTCATCGCTCTTATCCATGTGTGTGCATGCCTATCTCGTTGACCACATGTCTGTCTTATTTTTTGTCTGACTATATATTCTTAGTCGTGCTCTATCTCTAGGAGTTGGCACATTAACCTTCTCCAACGTGCTTCACCTGTTCATTCGCTTCCTTCGCCCATTCGTTCTCATTGTAATCCTTAGAGTTGGCTCAACAGACTTCTCTAATTCACGTCGCTTCTTTCGTTTTATTCACTGTTTCTCCGCTTCGCTTTTGTGGTGTGTCAAAAATAAACGTATTCATCACTTCGAATTCACCTTCCGATTTGTAAACCGTCAGACGCCATTTGGTAATGATTACCTGGACGAACTAATCACGAAACTTAAAAGAACACGTCGAAATCGGCCACCACAATTTCTTCACATCATGCCTATTTGTTATCAAATTTAGATTTCTTCTACAATATTATTTCATTGTTTTTCATATCTTTTAAAGTGATGCAATGCAATTGATACTAATCAGTAATTAAATGAATTTACTTGACTTTCCATTTATTTCATATTGAAATGATCTCTATTCAATGACTACTTTATCTCGTTACCTGTTAGCATGGGATACATAGTGAATTGGTACTTTTCTAAACGTAACCTTGTATTCTTGACATTACTTTCAATAGAAATAAGGTATTTGCTTTTTTATTTATTTGTAAGTTGACGCAGAAAATTGGCTACTGGTTATCGTTTAGAAATAGATAACAAGCTGAATAACTCAACTGTCTTATTCTTTCAACTAATGAAGATAATCAAATAAGTTGATTCAATAAAGAATCGTTTCATAGAGTAGTAGGCAGGGGATTTGATTGTTGTTTGACTATAGATGGCTAATTATTATAACTCGAAAAAGGCAATCAATAATAATCTTTAATATCTCATAATTACTATTTTACTAAACTGTAGCTTTATTGTGGATTGTTAAATGTAAACGTACTTGGATGTTCAAATCTATTTGTCGTACTGAAGTGTTTTCGTGATCTTCAATTGTTTATATACAACAGTTTTCTCTTTTTTTACTTGCGATATACTGAAATAAAGTTTTAATAATTCAGGGTTATTCTAAATGTCTCATAACACAATATTAACTTGTTAAGCAAAATATTTGAAGTTGACCTGAAAAGCGTCAATTATCTCCATTAATTGTGGTTATCAGATGGTTGAAGGATACCCCAGACCTAGGTTTCGTGCTAGTTGGCAGTCATTAGCATTGAGTACTTGGAAAGTTAAGGGAGATAATATTCTCGAACAGTTGGAACCTAGTTTGTCTGGCTTTACGTCTAAAGTTGTTATCGCTAAGCTGTTACAACCACCACTGACTTCTCACACGATTGACACATTCGTATTTGTTGATTACGGAGTAGTGAACAATACATGTTCACTGTTTATAAATATTAGAAAAAGAACTAATCTTGTTTAAACCTAAACCGATCACAGCACATCGCCTATACTTGAGCTAGTATACGTTTAATTTTGTTAAGCGCTTCAATTGGCTAATTTAATAGACAGTTATTAGATCGATAGCAGTGTTTATGTCTTTGTATAATTCTCATTATCATCATGTCTAATATGCGCTTACTTACTTACGCCTGTTACCTGCAATGGAGCATAGGCCGCCCACCAGTTTTCTCCAACCAACTCTGTCCTGGGCTTCCCTTTCCAGTTCTGTCCAATTTTTGTTCATTCTTCTCATATCTTTCTCTATTTCTCGGCGTAATGTGTTCCTTTCTAATAAGCGCATATCCTACTTATTCGTCTTTTCACATTCTCTCAAGTTCGAACATTTGTTCATATTTGCTTCGTGATATGTGCTGTTTGATAAGGAATTTTTAAGTCCACGCTTCGCATTGTCTTCTGCACAACTCAAAAGTCTTATGTTCGTTACCATATGTTGATATACAGTACGTGTAAGTTTTAATGAATAATTTCAAAAGAGAACAGAACAGTTATCCATTGTAACGTTGTTTTCAATAGTTTTTTTGTTCAGTATCAGTTTAGACAGAAAAAATTACCTTGAAATTAATTGAATGGTATTTTCAGTTGAGAAGAATTTTTGAAGTTGAATAAATATCAAAACAGCAATTACAGCAGAGTAATATAAATTCGCTATGTTTCATAGTGTCTTATATCAATTGCTCAAAAATGTATTCAAGTTAACGTGTAATAAGGCAATGCAATATAACGGATAGTAATCAACATTGATGACGACAAGATTAGGATGTATGGATTTCGAAAATAATGGACGGTGAGAAAATAATTGTATGAATCATAAAAGATTGGAAATGTCAGATCACTTGAAAATAAGTACAGAAGACGTTGTAGTGCGTCGATTTACTGCGTGTTCTTAAGCTCGGTAATTAGCTCGTCCATACTGTCGTTACTGAATTGCGTCTGACGGTTTATAAATCAAAAGGTGAATTCGAAGTGATGAATACGTTTATTTGGGACACACCATAAAGCGAATCGGAGAGACAGCGAATAAAACGAAAGAAGCGACGTGAATTGGAGAAGGCTGTTGAGCCAACTCTAAGGATTACAATGCGAACGAACAGGCGAAGCGCGTTGGAGAGGGCTAATGAGCCAACTCAAAGAGATAGAGCGTGACTAAGACTATATAGCCAGACAAATATGAGACAGACATATGAGAAGCGAAATAGGCAGACATGACTAAAAGCGACGAATAGTTGACAAGGTCAAATGACAGGTGGAACGAGTTATGTGAGCTCATACAAACCAGACAATAGTAAGAACGAATGGTACATATAATTTGTTGCAATACAAATGGCGTGGTCAAATAAACTAATCGAAAGGGCTTAACCAAATTAAATGTAAGCGAACGGGAATACATGTGGGAGGCACTACAACGTGTAGCTATACGAATAGAGTTGTCTAGAATTTTCCATACTGAAAGGATGGGTTACCTGATAACAACTATAGGAAGATTTGTAGTCTCTGTAGGTTTGCAGAGTAACTTTAATGAAAAAAAAGCCGATGAACGAATGATTTTTTTAGCTCAAATGAAAAATATTAACTAGTTTAGCGAAAATTGCATAAGAGAACATAAACAATAATCAAACAATAATAATAACAGTAATTGTAATCATAATTAATTATGATTACTATTATTTAATTACATTTCATTATTTCATGGAATATGACGTCTTCTTTTTACTTTTCTCTTAGTGAGTCGAACACAACTTGGTCTATCAAATAATACAAATATTGTTTATTATTCCAATATTATTAATCCATCAGAGATGATTATCATAGGATCAGGTCAAGTGATGAACGCCTCGAATGTAACCATTTCTAAAATTGGTTATATAAATCCACCATTAGAACCAAATAATACGTATACAATGTATGCAATTGTTCAAAGTGAAGTCGATGGAATAAGTGAAATTGCACGTTCACCTTCAGTTGTTTTCTTAACTACTGGTAACAATTCAATTATTCCAGCAACAGCATCTATACAAGACAAGCAAACTGATTCGAATAATACACTTGCTATTGTTTTAGGCATTTTACTTGCTCTTATTCTTTTAGCTTTAATTGCACTTATTGTGTATTGTATTTGTCGAGGAAAATGTCAGGTTAGTTTGGTGTTTTTTTTCTGCTTGAGTTTTATTTCTAAATGTATAAGGTCAGTAGTTCAGATCAAGTTCTACTCATAGAAAATCAAAACTAGAAGTGTTAACGATTGTATAACAACTAAACTAGTGTTGATCACTGAGTGGAAATATTCACGGGATTTGGATTACGAATCATTGAGTATCACATCCAAAGACGTTTTTTAATGAGTTGGTAGTCGAGGTTCGACTGATATTATTTAAAGCTAATTGGTGATTGAATGATGTTTACGAATATCATATTATATATATATATATATATATATATATATATATATATATATCCGAAATCGAAAATTGTTCACTTCAGATTGGCATGTCAACCGATCTATTGTTAAACTTATCAGGTATGCGATTATGAACATAAAGATATTATATTTTGTAGATATCCTAATTTTACGAGTAAATGTCAGGAGTAAAATAGTTGTTATCACTGATAATCAATGAATCTTTCGTTGTATAAAAAATTGATTGAAGTTATACCATTGAACATTGTTGATGCAAGGGTTTTAATGGTTGGGGGAGACTTCTGAAAGACAATATCTTCAATCCAATCCCTGACTGGATTATGAGCATTCACTTCCAAAAGAATCTTATACTTGAACGAAACAACTGTTTAGTGCCTCCATGTTTTCAATCTTATTCCGAATCGGATCTTTCTATGACGAATAATACGTAGAAATTATCTCATGAATTAATTTTCAAACTAATTTTAAACTTTCATTGAAATCAGGAATCAATCAATGTTAGACCATCATTAGAAACATGGAAGCACTGGACGGCCGTCTTGTCTTAGTTTGAGACCTATCAGTCAATGAGCATCCACGACTCTCATTTGCAGGTAATTTTCATCATGAACAGATGTGTCAGTTGAAGCAAGAGATGTATAATTTAACAAACATTAATCATTGCTTGAGTCCTAAATCAAGATATTATTATAGTGCAACATTAATTCATCATCAACACTGTTTGAACATCATTGCACGTATATTATCAATCAACTATGGTTCATAATTAAGATTACTTAGTCTATAACGCTGAGTCGCCTGAAAGAATTCTACTTATCCGAAGTGGTCCTTATGTACAATGGGTTTTTTTTTATGAAACGCTACAACTGCGATGATATTTTTCTTCATTCGTATTTCTTCTCTCTTTTTTTTGTCAATTTTTTTCTTGATCAGTCTGGTCGATATATGTTCCGCAATTATTTAAAAGATTCAAATGTGTCTTTCGAACAAAAACCTTATTTATTGCCTGACTCTTATGCTTGGTGGAGTATACCAAAAGAATTAGGTGAACCACGATATTTAATCATTGATCCAGTACATGGACCTTCACGTACATTAGTTGGAACATGGCCTTTAAATGAACTATTAAAAACATTTTCACTTGAATATTCAAGGTATGTATTATCAATGTTGTGAATGTTTTAAAATGGTTTGTTTATTTTAATGTGATTACTTTCTGTCAAATTCAGCTTTAGATGAGATTGGCTTAAACTACATTTTACACATTCGACTCTATTGGAGAACTCAATATTAGTTTTCCGACGGAAATAATTAATGTTCAAATAGTATCGATTTCACTTTTTACGTTCACAACACTTAACAACAGTTATCAATTTTCGATTGCAGTGGCAAAAAATGAGATTATTTTTAGTCATGACAAGAAAACAAACTCCATTGATTATGAATAAGTCAAAGTAATTAGCAAACATCGTCATTGTTTATTGGCTTAGTGAAATAATCATATTGACATACATATTACATAATACATAAACAAAACTAATTTGAAGTAGTTATTGTTAATCCAAGAATTTCATATTGTATCAGCTGGTGTTGGAAAAAAAGTGGTGTTTTAAAATAATCATATTCCTTTTCCAAACTGTATTGATTGGATATCAGTCAGTCAGTTAAAACGTAGAACTACGTACATGAGAACATAAGTTCAGGGTTACTATACCGTGTCAGCACAGAGACGCAACTGTCAGTTCAAATCCAGTAGTGGCAGGGATAGTAGAAGAACAGAAGGTTAGACTTTCATAGAACACAAAAGGTAAATGCACCTGCGGCGTTGCAGACGATTTTGAGCCATGTCGTTTAAGGTCTCTAACCATCGGTGACTATTGTCTCTCAGAAACCAACCAGGTAGCTTACATCTACCAACATGACTCAGTCCACTTGTCAGTGACTTCATGCATTTCAGCCATGTTTTTGGTTTGGCCGCCCTTAGCTTTCTTCCAACCTACTCCTACACCACAGAACATAGCTCGTCGAGGCAGTTGGTGGTTGGGCAATCTTAACACATGTCCCAACCACCTCAACTGATGGAGTTTCAAGACTATCTCTATTTATCTGCCATCCATAACTAGTTCTCGTCTCCTAACCATAGCATTACTTACTCGGTTGTCCCAGGATATACGAGTAACGCTTCGAAGACATCTATAATCGAATACTAGTAACATCCGGATGTCCTCCACTCTTACGGACCATGTTTCGCATTTATATAGTAGGATCGGTGCAAACTGCTGCTTTTGAAATAATAAACGGTTTTTCCCAATTACATGTTTAATTTAATTTTTTCACGTTAATTTTTTTCACTTATAATTAAAAGTATTCCATTAGGTGTAAAATTTTCTCAATCTATTGGGAATTTAAAAATGAATCTATCAAAAAATCATGATCAAACAAATCTACCTTATGATCATAATCGTGTTACATTGGATCGATTAAATGATTCCACTGCTGAAAGTGATTACATCAATGCTAGTTTTATTGATGGTTATATGCGTAGACGTGCTTATATAGCAGCTCAAAGTCCATTTGACATGTCTACTGTACAAGATTTCTGGTTAATGATATTTCAATGTAATATTGCACAAATTGTAATGCTTACTAATTCTATTGAAGATTCAACACTTAAATGTTATCAATATTGGCCTGAAGTAGGTTGAAAGAATATAATAAGGTTTTATGTTGAATATTGTTTTTATTTACTTTACTGTTAAGTTTTACACATTTGAAATCATGAATCGATCAATGTTAGACCACCATTAGAAACCTGGAAGCACTGTACGGTCGTTTCGTCCTGATATGGGACTCATCAGTGGTGCGCATCCATGACGTTGCAGGACTCGAACACGGGACCTTCGGTCTTGCACGCAAACGCCTAACCTCTGGTGTTAAAGTCTAAATTCAATCTATTCACAGTCTTGCACAACCTCATACACTGTCTTCAGTAGTCACTGTCTACACCCGGACAGGTTGAACGTCACTGGTCACGACTTCCCCCTAGAACTCGGAGAAGATTCCTCACGGAGCTAGTCACTAGTGAGCATAGGTAATCGCATTACTGGATTGTGAAGATTGTTAAGTTACACATTTGAAATCATGAATTAATTACTTGAAATGTTTCCCATTCAAACATTATTTGTTTGGAATGCATATACATAGTCTGAGACGTTCATATTGAACTGTTCAGATTGTGACTGATATTCTATTGAAATAAGATAATAATGTTTATTGATCCAATCTCATGTATACTCAGTACATTGAGCTAATTGAATTCAATTATTTAAGTGACTTGAGTTTAAACTAAATAAGAAGCACCAGTTCCTTCAAGATTATAAATACACTTTGCTGTTGAGAATTGTCAAACAACCTAAAGCCAAAACATTTGGCATACAATACCAAGTTGTTTAGATTACTAATGGGGAGATAATACCATGACAGAGGGACATTATATATCTCTATGAATGTGTAGTTTATGCTATGAATCAGTTTGACTGATTTACGACCAAATAATAATTCCAGGAAACATCAAGTCAACAATACAGTCATTCTAATAAATCAATACTTGAAGGCGATAGATCAGTAAATCAATGAAAAGAATTGATTATTTATTCCTAGTATCATAAACACATATTTACAAATATGATGCATAAGCTATTTGACATTGATTTAATGAATTTTCACTTGGAAATCGTGATTTATTAAATTAGTTTACTAAATTAGTTTATTAGTGACACTGAATGAAAATCAGCCCAGTTTGTAGGATCCAAACTGAGGTTTGGACTGAGAAATAACTGTCTAGGTAGTTAAGATACGCATCTTGCCCCAGTTGAATTCAAAACAAGGTGATTGGGTAAATAACGGTTCTAATATTCATCATAAATATAAATTTACATCATCACCTAAATAATATTACCACGGCTATTCCTTCAACAGTTGTTCAATTAATCAAATTAACAGCAACAAATAAATGATATTCTATTCCTCCTGGATAGATCAGATTCCCTGAAAAGATAATATATGGTTGCTTTATAACACAGAGTGTTTCCTATTCTGGAAGAGTGCTCCAATTCACAATCAAAATGCACTATTCCAGTCAAAGCAAGCAACCCAATCAAAAGAGGAACAAATCAATATGCCTGTCTCCATGACTAATCAGCTTAAACAACATAAATGCAGTTCAGAAGGAAACATGGAAATTCAGTGAAAGCAAAATAAATGGAAACCATAATAAAATACAAATATTATCATCACAAAATGGAATCGAACAGATCGACAAAATGTACAACTTGAAGGAATCAGTAAGGACAAACTACAAATGTATGTATACATGGAGGGATTTTCACAAACAAAGCCTTCAAAACTGGATCTTACACAGTTTAACTGGGTGAAAGCAATTATCCTATTAATGACATTGACAAATGATTTAGCAATATATCAAATTCATCGTTATTGAAAATGGAAATCATGGAATAACGGCTTGGTCTTAAAGGTTAGGCTTTTGTCACATGACTTTAATAGGTCCTAGCTTCAGTCTCTAGTAGGGTTCGTGCATGTTTACTTCTGGCAGATTACATATTAGGACAAAACAGCTGTTCGGCGCTCTGTTTGTTGTTTCCCAATAATTATTCAACCAAAGTTATGCTGTGACGTAAACTATAAATATCAGTAGTCTCCACAAATCCCACATATTGATATCGGGTTCAATAAAATATTCCTATTAAGACACAAAATGTATATTGAAGGTAGAAAATTTATTTTCAGTTTGTTCATTGATATTGTTCTACACCATTAAATCTTGTCTGAATGGTTAAACGTTTTTAGACACGCTAGGGTTTTTAGATTATATTGCATTCGGTATTGCGTTTAATTACCGCTTGTGGATTTACGAATGGAAAGATACAGCTGTTCTTAATTCTTATTTTAAGTGTTTCTTCAATAGATATCGGTTTGTGTTAAAAATGACCTTCAGTTAGTGCTCGCACTGAAGGAAGGATTTTATTATGACCGATTTGGTCTCGTGCGCTTTTACGGGTATGAGGGCGGATGTCGCTTCCTGGTTGCTAACACCGTGGAAGGGCTCTGGTTGTCAGAAGCGTCATCGGCCCGGTGACTCCCAAGCGAGCTCGGCTTTCATCATGAGACGTCAAAACGCTTCTAAATAACCTTCTGAATCCCATAGCTGAGTTTAAATGGTTTTATTTATTTTTTCTTGTTAGTGTTTTTTTAGCAAGTTAGTTTTCTACGAGATGGGGTCACCAATCCCATGCTCAACCCTCCTACTTTATCTAGACTTGGAACTGGCAGTAGCCTCGTAGGTGCCTCAGGCGTATTTGAAAATGACCTTTGAATTAATCCAAATGCTGTTTAAAACCAATCTTAAGCAAATCCTACTACAATTATCTATCTTATCTGCCATATCAATAGACTGTTATTTTCACTTTTTTTCGATTTTAATTAATTACGAATGTCCATGTTTTTTTATCTCTTTGACCAATACCTCGTGTCTAGTTTTCTATGTTGTTGTTCATTGATTGGTTGAACTTTGTTTTGTTTTTTTTTGTATAAATGTAATTCTCATGACTAGATGTCAACACGATCCAACACAAATCAATCGGATTCAAAGTGTCCAAGTCAATATTTCGGTAATATCATGGTAGAAATAACTGATCAAATTGATTATCCACATTTTACTGTACGTTATTTCATAATAACTGAATTATCATCTAATTTAAGTCAACAAGTTGTACAATATCAATTTCATAGTTGGATAACACCAGATCATGTGAATAATAATAAGCCAACTTATTATACAAATGATAATTGTACCATTGAAAATGATTGTAAATTTAATATATTATCTGGTAATGATGTATTAAGAACTACTACACAAGATTTATTTTGTCGTACAACAAATTATGGAACAATATTTAATCGATTAAATTTTATTGATTTCTATTATCGTGTTAAAACTGCTAGTCGTCCAGAAGATGGTCCACTTCTTATTCATTGTTCCACAGGTTTGTAAAGTTCAAAGTGTTGAATATATATATATATATATATATATATATATATATTCATCATTGTAATTATGAAAGATAGTTTAATCTATTGACTGGTCGTGATTGTTTGTTTGATTGTCTTACATGAAATTCTTCAGTAATGTATATACATATATGCTATTTTCGTCTTCTAAATTAACTATGATACTTTGTGAATTAATGATTTTTTTAATTATCGATATTTCTAACTTGAATCGACTTGTAATCGATTTTTGGATCAACAATAATTCCTGCTGTTAATAGGTAGTAAACACCATGAGTACATCAAAATCAAAATTCAAAAGTTTAGTCATTTGAGTAGTAGATGTATAGTAATAGGTCATAAATTTCTTGGTGAAAAATATATTTCACTGAAGTCATGAACCAAGCTTCGATCTCATACACAAACACCTAACCCCTAGATCACTAATACCGTTAGATGCCGGCTCAGTTGTCTAGAGGTTAAATATTCGCCCCCAAAACCGAAGGTCCTAGGTCATGGATGTACACTGCTAATGAATCCAATACTAGGACGAAACCGTCGTCCATTGATTCTCGGTCTCATTCTAACGGTAGTCTAATAGTGGTCAATTCATAACTTCAGTGAAACTCAACAATCTCCATCAATGCAATGTAAGGTAAAACAAAACCTGGCTAAGGTTAATTTTTAATGATATTTTGAAGATATAAAATTACATACGAACTGTTTGCAACATGATTCCACCCATTTCTAACCAGTTTAACATTGTGTAAGTGATAAGTTTGTTAATTGATTATTTATTTATAGATTTTAAAAATCCTCATCTTATTCAGACATTAATATATGAACAACTTAAGAATAATCTTTTCAATAAATTCTCGTCAGATTGTATCAATTATACATTCAAATTAATCATCCAACTAAAACGACCAGGGTTAAAGGTAAACTACATCGTTTCAAATTTACAGCATTACATTTGGCCAAAAAAGTTTGTATATACATTAGTCAAATTGGGTCATTCTATGGTTAGGATAATTATTATTGGTTAATTGGGTCTGGGGTTCATTAAATATATATATATATATATATATATACTTACAATATTAATAAAACAATTTATTTCCATTGAAATGTTTATTTATTATTATTATTATTGTTTTTCTTTACATTTCTATGTTATTCCTTTTTTCATCAGATTTATCTCGTACAGGATTGTATATAGCCTTTGATTTGTTACTACAACAAGCTACACATGAACGAGTTGTTAATGTGGCTAAATTTTGTTCATCTTTATGTAAGGCTCGATCGAATATGATTCATTCAATGAGACAATTCACTTTACTGTATGATTTATTATTTGAAGTTATATTAGCTGGTCATTGTATTGTTGACTTGGATGTGTATAGTACTTATAAAATGGTGAGTAGTAGTAGTAGTAATAGTAGTAGTACAGTAGTTGTATTGTAATTCAATTTGTTTTTTTTAGATTGTTAAAAATTGAAGTTTCTTGAAGGTTGATCTCATAGTTGTATCACCAAATAATAATGAATAAATTATCTCGTTGACAGTTAGGATCCGATTTCGCCATCATTGTTGGTACATATGCACCCAGTGCGTTTTGTTCTATTTGAAATGTTTCAAACCTCTACTAATACCGATTTAACACATTATACCAACTGGACAAGTTAGTTAGCGTTTTTTTTTTGGCAAGTGAGATTTCGACGGAATGGGGTCGCCAACCCCATGTCCAACCCTCCTCCTTTACCCGGGCTTGGGACCGGCAGTAGCCCCTAAGGTTCTACTGGCGGAGTTGGACAAGTTAGTGTCTATCTGGAATTAGTAGCTTAGTGGATCTTACATTGATGTTTGAAGCAAATAAGTTCTAGGTTTATAGTCTGAAAGAGAACATCAACGCTGGGAAATAGGTATGTTCAGTAAATGACTTCCAAATAGAATGAAATATGAGTTCTAATTTTTATTGCTAGCTGTAGTCGATTTACTCTGATGGTACATTATTTGTGGAGATTATATTTGAAACCTTAGATAATTCCAATATTTCTTCCCGTTTGCTTAGATAATTCCCAGCTAAATCCTATTGCTTAGTATTCTCTGATCACAATACACTGGACAAGTTCCAAAGAATCAAAAACACGGTGGAACGGGGAAAGATTATATTCCAAATAGCAAGGTTAAATGTAAATAAGAAGCCGAAGGGAAAATAGATACAACGTTAGATTCCTTATAGTATTTTCATGAGAAGCTTCTGGATTGTAATTCTCGTGATTGACTGGATTGGATTTAGCCAATCAGCATGAAGCTAACAACACGAGAATTTTCTACCCTGTTCTCCAAGAGTCGATCAGGCGCAGCAACGTAGTCATGTCCCACTAACAATAATTCACAGATTGACTTTAGCAAGTAGGATAACTTGGGTCAATTGAGATGCGAAACGTGAAAAGTTCATATTGCAAAACATGAATGAATGTGTGGATGTGTATGTGTAAAATTATGCTTTTAATAATTGCTATTCGATCAATGAATGTTATTTGAAATCAATCAATTATTGTTAGACCACTATTAAGAACCTGAAAGCACTGGATGACCACTTCGTCCGGGTATGGGACTCTTGTTAATTTTTCTATCGATAGACTGTGTTTAGCTGAGCAATAAAACAATCAAGATAAATAAATGAAAATAAATCAAAACAATAACAGGATTAAAATATTATTATCCACATCTTTTATTATTATTATTATTATTAGGGTAGAGATAAAACGTAAGTTCAAACTGTTTTTAAAACAATCATCTCATCAAAATCAAACTATATTCTACTGTATATGTTAGCTTGTTGTTTAAATTAGTAAAATTATATGTGTAATAACAAACTGATGCTTATTATCTACGCTAGATGTTTGGCAGTTCATTTGTGTTGACAATGATTTTGATTTTTATGTTCAGTCAACTTTTAATGACTTTTCATGATTGCATCTCCTTTATGTTGACACGGATGTGTAAATTAATAGGATTTGACGCAACTGTTTGCATACTGTTTAGTGAAAGATGACCATAGTTCAATGATAGATTCCACAGACAATATGTCGTTTGAATATTGAAAATGGAATTGAGAATATTCACTTACTTAATCACGCCTGTTACCTATAATGGAGCATAGGAAGCCGACTAGCATTCTCCGATTTACTCTGTCTTGAGCCTTCCTTTGCAGTTCTTTCCGATAGTGGTTTATGCTTTCGATATCTGTCCCTAATTCCCGATGCAATGTGCTCTTTGGTCTTCCTATTTCCTTCTGGCCTTGAGGAGTCCACGTGAGGGCTTGTCTTGTGATGCAGTTGGATAATTTCTGCAATGTGTCCTACAGTGATTTTTCCTCATTTCTTCTCCCGCTGGAATCTCGTTTGTTCCCCACCACAGTAAGCTATCACTGATGCTGTCTGGTCAATGAATCCCCAGTATCCTCCCTAGACTGTTAGTGAATACCTGTATCTTTCTAATGATGACTTTCATGGTTCTCCAAGTTTCCGCTCCATACAACAGATAGGCTTTGACGTTTGCATTGAAAATCCTAAAGTTGTTGTTGGTTGACAGTTATTCTGAGTTCCAGATGTTCGTCACTTGTGGAAATGTTGCTCTTGCTTTACCGATCCGCATCAGATCCATCTTGTTTATCGATGAACTGCTCAGATATATGAAGGTTTCTCATATCTTCCAGAGCTTCTCTACTAAGTGTGATTTATTTAGTGCATACTGTGTTTCATCTAAGGATCGAGTACAGAAATATTTCATAATGATATAAGAGTTTTGAAATTTTACCGAAACATATTAATTGTGTTTATAAAATCGATAAACGATTATTGCTGGTTTTCTGTGATTTTCATTCTCATTCTTGATTATTCATTTGATAAGTGGTATTTTAACTTTGAAAAAATTCCTACCATATTAAAACACTAATATTATTATTCTTTCGAATAAAGTCTCCTCACAGGTTCAAGGCAAAATATATGCTTTACTTTTCGGTTTCCTAATTACTTCTCACTGGTTTTGATATCTTATAAAGAATGAAACCAATAAAATCTTTTGTTTGGATCCTACGATGTATATTACGACGTAGTGCTCAGTGGTTTTGTCTTCCGGTAACTGGTTCTTTGTGTGGGCAGGGATCAATTTTTTGAACATTGTCAGTACAACTGATCGAAATAACTCCATTATTAGACATCATTAAGGCAATATAAAAATGTGTTACACAAAATGAAGAAGCAATTCCAAGGCATCTGTAATAATAAGGTCTGAAAGCCTTGAACTCTAGGGTGTGTTATGATTTACAGAAACGTACCATATCATTTCAGTGATCATTCATTCCATTGCAGGAATGTATTTAGAAGTTGATAAACAACTTTTATGATACTTCTATCCTTTTCTAGTCTTATTTTTATCGTTGTTTCATTAATTACTCATCCAGATAAATGCAATTACTGAGATCAATTCATTTAAAAAGTAGATTCGATAAGGTGCGTAATTTATTTAGACAAACTTTTCATTAAAATAAGTTTTAGGTGGATTTTCTAAAATTATTATTCATTTGTTGATCTGTTTAGTTGATTGTGATACGTTGTGCGTCACCTTAGTCAGTTTATTTAGTGGTTTTTTAAAAGTTATCAAATACCGAAATGATTTAATAGTGTTTTTCACATAGTCTGGGTGTGATTCACTAGTTACTGATGTTGCCCAGAGAATCATTTAAAACTGACATATACCTGACAATTGCGTCCATATCTATTACGATACAGTAATGTTCATCCATAAACTTGTCAGAAATCGATCTTAAAGCTTTCAGGTATCTTGAAAAGCAAGCTCTTCGATGGTCATGAGCTCGTGGTGATTGGTAACTTTAGATTTACACAAATCTTATTATTTCCATAACTTTCATGAGTTGTTTTAGTCATGAATTATTGAAATAATCATGTTATGCTACCGTTCACGTAAATTATTTGAAAGTTTTGTTTTCATGGAATTCGTGGATTCTGTCATATACTGTACCTTTTTTTTATTGTGAAAAATTCATCAATGAAATCTATTGTTAAATAGTGTTTTCTTTTTTTTTTGAAAATTGCCTTTTAGTTATGCCGTAAAAATACAAAAATTAATCGATCTTATTTATGGGAACAATGGTCTGTGTTACATTTGTACACACCATTATTTGATATAAATATCAATTTTGAAGTTGCTTTGGATTCTTCCAACACAAACAAGAACCGTTATCCTGATGTTATCGACCTGCTTCCATCTGAACATTGCCGCGTTCGACTACATCGTACAACAAATAGCATTCATGATGATTCACCCATTTCAGATTACATTAATGCTTTCTATTTGGATGGTGCAAGTCTACGCGATGATATTGTCATAACACAAACTCCTTTAAAAAATACAGTAGATGATTTTTGGTGTATGATTGAAGAAGAACAAGTAAGTGGATGTGAGGTTTGCATAGTATTCTGTTACTAGTTTCCTTATATAAAGGAATGATGGAATGGATTGTCAACTCAATTTTTCTAGAAAGAAATAATTCTAATACTTTAAACTAAGTTTATCACATAACGTAACATTTGATTATGCGATATGATGCATGACTTATTTTGAAAGTTACTTCATCAGGTTTAACAGTTAATCTGGATTTTCTGATTCATTTTTTTCTTTGCAACTTTAGATAGCATCAGTAATAACAATTAAAACAAAAACACTGGTTAAGATTAATAGTGTTAGAAAAAGCAAAGAATTTACGGTTGATGGATTATTCCTAGAATGTTTAAATGTATAAGATTTTATATAATGACGTTGAAAATTCATAGTTAGTTCATGATGAAGATTTTTGAGGCGTTTTTTCTAATAAAAGCTAGGTGAGATTGATTCAGTCGTATAAACTTTAATTTTCCTTCTATGCGACATCATCAGCAAATACACCAAACATTAGAAGGAAACTGTGAAAGTTCAATAACGAAACTATGCAGCTTCTAAAAAATGTTTAGGATTTGCAGAAAAATATAATAATTGATTGATTATAAATGTGTCATTACAATTGATTTTGAATGAAGGCTTCATAACCACTCATGTTTTCGGGAATCTCACGAAAATAAAGTCTTCATTATGATACATTACTTAAAAGAAATGAAAATTTGTAGTTCAAGTGAACGATTAAGGTGGAGTTTCGTTCCCGGAGCTGGATGGTTTGATTATAGAGTTTTATTGGTTCGTCTAAGCATCATCATCAGCACGAACTTCATGTATGATTGAAGTATTCGAATTTCTCCAAGTATGACTTGTAGCTTGTCCTTTTGACGTCGATTGGTTGATTGGTTGTTATTGACCTTAAACCTGTCTTTGTTTGCACCCTTAATTTGAATGTATCTCCCTTTGATCTGTTTTTTGATCCTATACTTGTGTACGATTTTTCTGATTGGTTAGTAAATTGGATCCATGTCAGTGTGTTTGTCCATCGCCAACTGATCCGAGTGTCAAGTTTCTAGAAATGTTGTAGTGTTCTGCTCTATTTCAACATTTTCCAATCGAATGTATGTCCACAATTGTCTGTATGCATTGACATAAGGGAAGAAATGTCATGACGTTTGACTGTTAATTGATATTCACATTGACAATGCCGGAGAGGACGTTCAATTTGTCTGATGTAATTTTTCCGATTCAATTTATCAAATACGCAGAAAAGTCGTAGACAAACAGGATCAAAAACCAAATCATAAAGGGATACAATCAAAATAAAGAGGCAGACAATGACAAGATAAAGTTCAATGACAACAAATCAAGATTAAGGTCAATAGGAGAAGTTATGAGTCATTCGTAGAGAAATTCGAATGCTTCACTTCTACATAAAGTTTATGCTGCTGCTGATAATTATACTCAGACGAACCATTAGGACTCCACAACCAAACCATTCAACTCCGAGAACGAAACTCCACCATAATCATCCATCTAAACTACAAACTTTCTCCACCATTGTTAAAAAGTTTGTTTTCCAACCTTTCCATACTTACTGTTGAGGCTGGATGATTATTTTTCAATAAAATGAAATGTTGTTGATAAGTTCGTCACTTAGTATGCTTGGCTATTACGAGTTTACCTTAGTCGATAAACGCGAACGAGACTTTTACCAGCATCCAGGGAGGCTACCTTGAATCCGAGGCTGAAGTGAAAAGTCTTTGTAAGCGTAGAAAGTATATTCTACAAACACCCAGCAATCACAGTACAATCAAGCATACAACTCTCGTTTATTTATACAACATAAGAACGTCCTTGAGACAGTTAAGAAAATAGCATACTAAAATACACAGCAGCCAATCACAGCCATGGATTTTGCTGGTGAGAATTGAAATCTCAAGGTCATCTGATCAGCCCATGCTGGGAAAACGTGAAAACCAAAATACGGCATTATCAAGCGAATTTTGGGGATCTAACGTCCCCAACAGTTGAATAACCCTTGAACTAAATTGATGAATACCGAAAAAAGATAGGACTGGACTTAATCTTGTGATTAAATATTTTGAATGGATTACTTGTCACAAGCATACAGTAATATAATGTATAGATTAGTGAATAATCTTGTTGAAATTCCCTAACTATAAAAAAAAATGATATTACATGAGAAATTCTATTAAATTAGTTAATTCATAAAATGTTACATCCTACTTAGGTTTTTCTGAATTCCTTTCGATTTCAAAAATATTCTACTCTCAGGTAACTAAAATAGTACGTTCTTCTTATGATAATTACTTAATGTGTCAGTTGTTACAAATTTAAATAATATTAAAGATTCTCATTGTGAAAATTAAAACAACACATATAAGCGAACAATATTGTTGTTTTCGATTAGATCGTCATCAGGCTTTACTCACTAATATACATGAATATTTATGTATGAAAATGTTAAGCCAATCAAGGCAATTTGAGTCAATAATCAATCACAATTAAATGAAATAGATTACGTCATTACGCATAATAGACAAAAGTACAAGTTGATAGTAGGAAGACAGATGTACTGATAGTAAGTAAGAGAAATATCAAATACGATAACAAAAGTTTTATCAGTAGTAGGTCAAACGTGGATAAATAGACTTAAAATAATCATTACAAAACCTTGAACCATTATGTAATAGGCAGTGTGTACATAATTAGATAGTGAAGAATATAAACGGAAATAGACAGAAAACTACCAACAAATACAGGTTGTGAAAATAATGTTAATAATAACAAAATAAACTTTAAAGCAACGGAAGAGATAGGTGTGTCACGAATTTCTTCCGAACACATAATTAAGTTAAGGATATCTTTTGGAGTATTGTTCTTTTAAAATCTACATTTTTTTTCAAATGATACCCTGACTAACTCCACAGTTCTTTGGCGGTATTGGTAACTTCAGTAGGTTACATTTGAACAGACAAATAATACTGTTTGTGCGCAACATCTCACACCAGAAAATACAAATGTATGCAGTGGTTGTTAGAAAAAGAACATAGAAAATAGCTATAAAAATATTGCACGAAAAATGTGTTGTTGTACATTTTGATGCTACTTACAATTTGTGAGTAGTGTAGTTAAATATATAGGATAGTTGAGAGCTGCGTATTTCATTTGACTTAAAACGACATGTATATTACATTGCAAAGGCTTTCGGATAAATGGAATGGACGTGAAAGTACCGAAGCTTCTAGAAAAGCACGGTCATCTCTCATAAAGTAAGATGTAATGGCTATAGACAATCTTCGATCTACTGTAAATCAATGAAATAGCTTTTAACATATCCTGGTGGTCAGTTTCCATTGAAGGTGTAAGATATATGATCATATTTAGTTTTTTCCCCACTGCTATTGTAAAAATCTAATTCGAAGTTTGTGAAATGGTTCTCATTTTGTGAACTAGGTCACAATGCTATTTGCGACTTTCCATCTAATTTATCATTTTTCCGAAAGGCGCAAAATTTGTCAAATACTTGCTTACTCCTTTTAACCCCCAATAGAGAATAGTGCGCAGGCCAGTATTCTCTAACCTACTCTGTTCTAAGCTTCCATTTCAAGTTCTGTCCTATTTTTTCTCATTCTTCTCATGTCCGTCTCCATTTCTCGGCGTAATGTGTTCCTTGGCCTGACTCTTTTCCTTTTATCTCGTGGGTTCCAAATGATTGCTTGTCTTGTGATGCAGTTGGGTGCTTTCCGCAGTGTGTGTCCTATTGATCTACAGCGCTTATTTCTGATTCTCTCCGCTGTAATCTGGTTTGTTTCCCTCCACAGTAGTATGTTGCTAATGGCTTCTGGTAAACGAATCCGAAGTATTTTGCGTCGGCAACTGTTAACAAATACTTGTATCTTCTGGATGATGGCTTTGGCGGCACTCCAAGTTTCCGCTCCATACAGTAGAACTATCTTGACATTTATATTGAAGATCCTGATTTTGGTGTTGATTGATATTTGTTTGGAGTCCCAAATATTTTCAACTGTAGAAATGCAGCCGTTGCTTGCCGATCCGTGCCTTAACTTCTGCATCGGATTCATCGTGCTTGTCAGTGATGCTGCCCAGGTATTTAAAGGCTTTTACGTCCTCCAAGTCATCTCTATCAAGTGTGATTTGGTTGGTGCGTGATGTGTTGTGTCGTAGAATATTGCTTTTCCCTTTATGTATGTTGAGACCTGCTGCTGAGGGTGCTGCTACACTGGTTGTCTTCTCTTGCATTTGTTGTTGCGTGTGCGATAGAAGAGTCAGATTATCTGCGAACTACAGATCGTCCAGCTGCATCATGGATGTCCACTGTATTCCGTGCTTCCCTCCAGATGTTAACGTCTTCATAATCCACTCGATCACCAGGAGAAAGAGAAAGCGTGAAAGTAAGCAACCTTGCCTGACATCAGTTTTCACATCGAAAGAGTCTATCAGCTGTCCTCCGTGCACTATTTTACAGTGTAATCCATCATAAGAGTTTCATTTGAAGTTGAATATCTTCTCAGGCACGTCATAGTGTTCTGGTTTACGATATTTTCCAACGAGCTTCTTTGTTGTATCGTACAATTGCCTCAAGTTTCCTTCTCTTGCAGCCTTTTTCGCCGTCATTGCTAGATCTTCCACATATTTTCGTTTGTCCGCTCTGATGCTGTTCTTCATTTGCCTGTTTGCTTCTGTGTATTCAGCTTGTGTCTTAGCTTTCTTTGCTCTTGTTCAGCTGGTGTTGATTGTTGCATTCTTGTTCCTCCTTTGTTGAATTTTATCAAGGGTACATCTCCATTGAGTAGATCTTGCAAAGCCTGGAACCTGTTGCTGAGTACTATATTGAATTCGTTGAGCTTTCCAGGATGCCGTATTACACTTTCGTGATATTGTCTGCCACGTTGTCCAGTGCTTCTTGAGTTTCAGTTTCATTTTGGCGACCAGCAAGTGGTGATCTGAGACTATATCATCTCCTCTCTTAGTTCTCACATCCTCCATGGTCCTTCTGAATTTTCCATCGATACATATATAGTCAATTTGGTTCTGAGTAGTGTGATCCGATGACGTCTTCATACCCAGTGTTGTCCATTCCAACCTTGACGTTTACGTCTCCTATCAGAATTGTCAAATACTTTGAGGGACATATCGTAGAATTGATCTTTATTGTTTTTATTGTAGTCGTTGGTAGTTGCATAGCATTAGATGACGTTCATTGTTATGTCCTCCTTCTTTGTTCTGAAGGATGCTTTAATGATCCTGGGTTCATGAGATTCCCATCCTATCAGTGCCTTTTGTGCTTATTTGGACAGCATCAGTGCAACTCCCTGTGTATGTGAAGCATTTTCTTCTTCATGACCAAAGTATAACAGCAGTTCCCCTGAGTCTAGTCTCAGTTGTTCTACCTAGGTCCAATGCGTTCAGCTGATTCCAAGCACCTCCAGGTTCTATCTTTTCATCTCTGCAGCAACTTGAAAAAGTCTTCCGGTCTCCCACAATGTACGAACGTTCCATGTACCTAAAAGAATGGTTGCTTTGGTTGTGAGAATGGTCATCCACCTCATGACTTCCGAAGAAATTGAGCTTTCATTATGAGACGTCATAACTCTTCTGACTGAAGACCTTCTCACTCCCACGGCAGAGTTAAAATGGTTTGAATTATTTGTTCTGGTTAGCGTTTTTTTCAGCGAGTTATTTCTTTTGTGGGATGTGGTCGCCAACCTCACGCCCAACCCTCCTCCTTTATCCGGGCTTGGGACTGGCAGTATCCCTAGAACGGGCTCCAGGCGGAGTTATCATTACTGTACCCTCATGTAAAATGACATGGAGTACTTCATAAGAAGAGATGTTTGAGGAGTTAATCATATGGTGTATGATGCTGTACAAGTTACATAGTGCTCAGTCATCAGTTAAGAAATGTATGTGTACTACCTATCGTGAGTAGATTACTCACCTATAGAACGTCTTTACCTAGGGATTGTTATTTTAAGTCAGTTTAACAATCCAAATGTAATCGCTAGCGTTATCCTCAGCTTTTAATAATAAAACGTTGAGCGTGCATGAAGATCAGACTACAAAAAAGACAATAGTTATTTGAATTCTGATGTCAAATTATTGACGTTTCTCAGTGTAATAAGTGATGTTAAAATGTATCACTATTAAATCTATCTGATGCGTTTATTTGCGTCAGTACACCTTTCATCCAGTTCATATGTTATTATTGCTTGGTCTTTAAAGATGATAATTTCTTTACAGATTTAGTACTTTTGTAATTTAATATCCATAAGTCTTCTAGACTTTCGATTTATCTACCGGTTATCAGTCAAGAATAAACTAGCGAAATAATAAATGCGGATAAATTGTAGTAGCTAAGAAAATGATAAAAACTTGCAAGCAGTCGTAAACGAGAATAAATCCCCATTGACAGAGTACAAAACAATCAAACACACATTATATTATCTTAACATCTGGCTTGCAAATGTTCTAAATTGATTTGTGTATATGTACATGTATCTGCGTGTTTACACGTACTTTGCCCATGCGCTTTCAGTTGTTACTTTTGTATTTAAAAAAAACGCATTACAACTATCTAAACTTGGATGTTTCACTATTTCATACCAGTTTTTAATATTACTTTATTTAGGTTTCATGTATCATTGATATGGAGCCATTTTCTTATGGTATCGAAGAAGCTGTTGAATACTGGTCTTTTAGTTTGGGTGAAAATAACTCATATTCATTATTTGGAGGTTCATTCAATGAAGAACTAAAAAGGATTGATATTCATTCAGATTTTAGTGAAACATTCTCCTTTCGACGTGGACCATGGTTAGATTTTGTGAATGGACAAATACAAATCTGTCAACTTGGTTCATTAATCCCGATTCCAGTAAATCCAGTTTCTTCGAACAGAAATTCGCATCATGAAATATATAAACGACGTCTACTCATTCGTCAACGTGAAGTTGATGATCATTCGAAACAAAACAGTTATCGACAATTTAATGAAAATAAAAAATTTAAACCTCGTGAAATTTCAGTCTTTCATTTTACTGGTAGTTGGAACGACAAAATGAATGTTAGTCATAATTTATTTGTGGAAACTCTTATAATGGTTAACTTACTGTCTATCAATCAATAATCCAGAAATTGTTAAATACAGATTCGCGATGTGTAAATATCGATTTATTAGTTACATAGACCCAATAAATGCTGCCAGAATATTTATAGATATCGTGGTCATCTCCTCCTCTCTCTCTGTGATCAGATTCATCACGGCGAAGCCATTTTGTTTTTAGAAGAATGAACGTATCTGCCCATGATTGTAAACACTAGCTAGCTCCATTAAGTAATCGTTTCTTACAAAAGATTATATGTATTTCGTAATGCTGATACGCACAAACTTGAAATTTTAGACTTTTTGACAGAACTAGACGACGAACTCAACCTATTCACGTTAGTTCATTTTTCTTGGTGGCTGGGTGATTGATCGTCTGGAAAATTCGAAGATGCTACACAAATAAATGGAACTCAGTGTTACATTCTGTCTTAACATTCAGTCAGTCAGATGCAACGTAGAACTTCGTACGTAAGTACATCAGTTCATGTTGCCATACCACATTAGTACAGAGATGTAATTGTCAATTCAAATCCAATAGTAGAAGAGGTATTAAAGGTATTTGAAGTAATCGGAGATGTTAGGATTAGAAGATACTATTCAAGAAGTATGATTAAATGAGAAAAGTTTAGAAAGTCAAAACTAGAGTTGTTGAAGAACCCAGAAGATTAGGATTTGAGAGAACACACAGAATAAATGCACTGGCGCCATTGCGAACGATTTTGAGCCATGTCATTCAAGGTCTCTAACCATCGATTATTATTATCTCGCGGACCCCAACCAGGTAGTCGACAATTACCGACATGGCTAAGTCCACTCGTCAATGACTTTATGGATTTCTGCCATGTTTTGGTTTGGCCGCCCCTAACTTTCTTCCAACCTACTCCCACACCACAAAACAAGGCTCGTCGAGGCAGTCGGTGGTTAGCCATACGCAACACATGTCCCAACCATTTCAACTGATGAAGTTTCATTACTTCATCTATTGATCTGCCATTCTTACCTAGCACCCGTTTCCTAATAACAGCGTTGCTCACTCGGGTGTCCCACGATATACGAGCAATGCTTCAAAGACACCTATGATCGAAAACCAGTAACCTACGAATATCTTCTACTCCCACTGGCCATGTTTCACAGCCATAAAGTAAGACGGAGCGAACTACTGCGCAGTACACTCGTCCTTTGGCTGTCTTAACATTGTCGAAGTGATGTCTAAATATGATATTATTTTTTTTTCCAATATAATTTTTTATTTTTACAAATTTACCCTCAAAGGGCAAAGGTAGTTCTACATTGGTTTTCAGGAGAGCCAAACACTGTCCAGGTGTTAACTCTACAACGTCAACGGTACGGCTCAATCTTGTGGCGTAACTACACAAGTACTTGATACCTTGGTGGAACATTCACACTATTTATGTACATCAATAAATATAGCGGTTATTTCCGATCCATGGTCGCGTCAACCAATATGCACAGCATGACCCATACCGCTTACATGACTGTCAAAATCATTATTATTAGCAATGGTGATATGTCATACAGCGTCCCAATTGCACTGACTCTCGGGAATTTCGCAAGACAACAACCACCAGTATCAGTGAAATCGGTCACCCTGCAAACCAAACTTGTATATGGACGCTTAGCAAAACTTTCCAAACCATCTACCATGTTCATTTAAATGAGCCTCTAGTCTCATAGTAAACTTTCAGCTGTATGTAGCAATAAAGCTTGTGGTTTATACATCGTTTGGCATGGGGTATTAAGAGATACAGCTCAGCTTGACATGAATAGGCACAAATACACTTGATATCCTTGGTCTCATCTAGGGACACTTTTTTATCGCAATAGCGAAATTCTCATTTTCCCGGTCATATGAGACCTGAGTTAGAGGTGGTGGTATCTCTTCAAAGTTATTTATTAAACAATTATTTTAAACAAAATCTATTATGTCAATTTTAGCTAAGAATAATTACTGTACTTTCATAACTAAATAGTTTGTAATATTTAATTAGAAGAGAAATTAATAACAACTTTTTTGTTTTAGGTACCTGAATCACGTACAGCCATTGTTCGTTTATTAGAAAAAGTACGTTTGGAACGTGGTACCGGTCCATTGATTATTCATTGTTTAAATGGAGCTACTCGAAGTGGTCTGTTGGCTGTATGTTATGTATTGGCGGAACGTATGACAAGAGATCATTATGTTGACTTATTTCATGTGATAAAAATGGCTAAAATACGTAGAAAAGCCATATTAGAATCACCGGTTAGTATTTTTACTGTTTCTAATTAACAAACATGTTGATTTGTATTGATAAATTATAATGATTTTTAGTCATCCAGTCATTTCAGAGTTGATGAACAATGAGAAGTTCGTGTACAGTGAACGAATCCCCGTAATCAATTAAAGTATTACATTGAGATTTTGTTTTATAATGACATACATGATCACTGTCTATAATTTATATTCATGAAGTAAGTACCTTAAGTTGCACACTAAAACAACGCGTATCATGGTGACTAGTGTTTTTTTGAAGGTTGACTTTCAATGGTGTAGACAAATGAAGACAATATTAAATGATTTTGTGTGTGTGTGTGTGTGTGTGGGTTGTTGGTAGTGTAAATGAAATGGGTACTTTTAATTTGAATACTTAAGTATATTGTTGAAGTTAATGAGAATTAGTCCCAATGTACTTTTGTTACACATTGTATTTTGATAATATCTCTCTGTATGTATGTAGCTCAAATATCTTTAAACAGGGAGTACTAGGTGTAAGATACATTTTTGCAGGTTTTGTTTGTGAAAATCCCTCCTGTTTATACATTTGCAGTTTGTCCTTATTGATTCTATAAGTTGTACATTTTGTTAATCTGTTCGATTCCATTTTTGATATGATAATATTTGTATTTTATTATAGTTTCTATTTCTTTTTTGTCTCTACTGAGTTTCTATGTTTCTTTCTGAAATGCATTTATGTTGTTAAAGTTGATACTTAGTCATGGCGACAGGCACATTGATTTGTTCCTCTTTTGATTCGATTGCTTGCTTTGACTGGAATTGTGCATTTTGAATGTGAATTGAAGCAACCTTTCAGAATAAGAAGCACTCTGTGTTATAAAGCGACCAAATATAATCTTTTGAAGGAGTCTGATCTATCCAGGAGGAATAGAATATCATTTATTTGTTGCTGTTAATTTGAATAATTGAACAATTGTTGGTGGAATAGCTGAGTGGTAACATTATTTAGGTGATGATGTAAATTTATATTTATGATGAATATTAGAACCGTCATCTACCCAATCACCTTGTTTTGGTTTCCAGGCGCTTATCCAAACTACCTAGACACTTATTCCTCAATCCAAACCTCAGTTTGAATCCTACCTACATTGGTCACTGAAATAATTTTCTTTTTTTATTTTGGTACTACAGGATCAACTTCGTTTTGTGTATCGTTTCTTAATTCAATGGATTAAATTCACATTAGCTGAACCATTAGCTAATTGGACTTTAAAACGATCCAGTTTATCAATGCCATTGTCATCTTCAGAAGTAGCATTGAAACAACAATGGGAATGTTCACAACAACTTGTCGGACATCTACCTCCAGATTCACGTGTTGGCATTTTTTCACATTGTCAACTACCAATATTAGGTGGAGATTGCTTCAATGGGAATAAATCATTTTTGCGAATGAGCAATCATAGTCTCGGTGTGCTTAGTGGCGGTGGTGATACACAGTCGATAAATTATACCGATGAAGATTATGATCCAAATGAAATGCCCATACAATCAATATTGTATCATTATTTCACTGATGAAATTTTAGCTAATTCTCATTTCGATGATGATCAATTACAAACGAAATCAATCATGATGATGACGACGACGACGACAAAGAACAGTATTCATAATCCTTATTGCTATTGATGATATCAGTTAGTTTGACTTGGTTTTTGTTTATTAAATTTTTTTCTATTTAGTAATACTTGGTATGTCTTGTGACCAATGGAAGTGAAGTGTTATTGACCAATCTTTGCTGTATCATGTGAATCATATTCATATTTATAAATATATATATATATATATATATATATATATATATATATATATATATATATATATATATATATATATATATATATAGTAGAGAATTGACATCATGTGTTTTTAAATTACTGAGATTGAATATTTACTTTCATTATGTGAACAGTATTCCTTCTACTTTTTTGTTGTTTTTGTTGAAGAAAACTGATATTAACTGCCTTTTAATCAATATTCTACAATAATAATAATAATAATAATGCCTTCCATGATTGTTTGTTTTCTACAATTCTCTCTTGTTTACTTCTATAACGTGCACATTTTCTTCGCCCTTTTCTACTCACATCGAAAGTGAAATGCGTCAATCAATGGAGTGAATTTACTATTTTGTTTGATTATTGGCTAATTCTATGAATTTCAAGACTATTATATAGGGTTACAGAGATGTTCTTGTTTATTAGAATCTGTGTACATGTTCCATTATTATTACTGTGCTACTACACTATTTTATACAGTCTCATATCTTATTTGTTTTTTTTGGCATATGCAACAAACAGCATAGTCATTTTGATCAGGGAATCATTATTTGTGATTGTTTAAATTATGTGTTTACAGTATGATAGTGGTGACCTTCGCCTTTTCTTACAATCATGTATTACAGATTGTGTTTTTTTCTTTTGTGGTTAATTAGTGTACTACTGTAAATACTTATGTTGATAATTAGTGTATGTAAATTATGAAGGTTGTTGTACCTTAGAAATTCATTCTTTTTTCTTTTTGTTCATTTATGTTTGTATAAAAAAATCAAATGAAAATATACAAGATTAGATTTTTGTGTAAATTAGCTGGTAAACAGCGATCATTATTCGATTTTCATCTCATTTAATTGGTTTTGTGATCAAGGTTAAATGATACTTACAAGTATTAAGATGAAGCCTATAGCATGGCAATCAGTATTGTTTATTTTACGCAACTCACGTTGACTACTGGCTTTTGCATATTCTGTGTTTTTAATTTTCGTGTCTTCAATCAACTTTTGTACGGATAACATTTTGAAACAAAAATTATATTTTCGGTGAAGATTCGCATTTCTAACTTAAGGGATCACCGTAAGGAGTGATTTCCTCACAAGAAATAAACACTTAAATATCCGTGTAGTAAAATCCTGACCATAGCTGCTACCTTGATGTGGTAGTCGGGGTTGCTTATCGTGATGATTTAGACGAACCATATTAACTGGAACACACATTACTTCAGATCCTACTAATATACAAGGCAGTTCGGTTGGGGAAATGTAAGACTAAAAGCAGTAGCCTTAGGTTTGAGGGCTGAGAGAGATGTTCGAAATGGTCAACTCTTTAAAAATGTCACACCTCACCTTACCCCATGGATTCTCGCCTCCGGCGGTACGACCCTTTGAAGATCGGGATTAACACTTGAAAAACTTCCTATCAAAGGGCCGTGAGTGACCGGCCTCAAGCAGTTGTCCGTTGGGCTCAGGTCACTAAGAACAACAGCAACCGCGCTTAAGTTACAGGTCTCTCAACAAGAAATACCCATCCCTGGTGTGGGCAGCTTGGTGGTAGCAACCGCCATCATGCCCCTAGCAATACACGAGTTCAACTTGTTTAAGATCAAATACTTCCCCACCTGTTAGTAACTATTTTATCCCCACAACTAAACCTTCTCGCGTATCTTTACCTCCTCACTTCTCTGATACTAATAATTCAAGTACACGAAAATTTATTCCTGGTATCGCGAAACTACAATCTAAACTACATGTGAGAGCTATTGATGTTTGAAGCTTGTGCCAAGGAGGACAACAGGCTTCCTTAGCAAGAACTCTAGAAAATTGCACCATTGATTTATGCTGCACCACCGAAATGCGCATACACGATCCGAGTACAATCATTTGTTTGAACTCACCTCGTTAATATTAAGATCACGATTTACCCTACTTGTATCTAGAGGGCCCAATGCTGCTCACTGGTATAGGTATTAAGCTCAAATAGTGAACCCGCTTCCGCAGACTGGATTCCAGGAGATAGTCGCCTATACTCTTTCCACCTGAACGGGACACTAACAACTCAGAAAGATAAGGACACTGCCGTTGTTTCTTTGATGTCACTGCCTACGCTCCTACTGATTGCAGCTCAGATTTTACAGAAACCTTTTCAACCTTCTTCAGAAATCTCAGCATTCTGGTGTAGTAATAGTGGCTTGTGATTTTACTACTTCCGTAGACATATTTGTCGAAACGGAAAGACATCCATGTGGGTCTTATAGTGTCGCGGGTCATCATGCAGATAACGGGGACCATCTTCTGCAGCTATGCTCAAATGACAACATATTCCTGCCAAATTGCAACTTTAAGTTCAAGGACAAATATCTTTTGGCATGACAACTTCTCTCAGACCCAAATAATTCTTATTGCTATCAGACATCAATGAAGGGCTTCATGGAAAATCGCTGCTCATTCTGAAGCACATGTTTATCAATCCTCAATCTAAAATGCATACATTGTTAATTATGAATAAGAGAAATTACTACCTAGTTCATTGAATTGTTTTTTCGATCACCTGTAATCTAAACGATTCGATTTAAGAATAAAGCAAATTGTTTATTATCAAGTAATTGAGCATAATCAACACGAATTGCTCGACTTGAGTTAAAGCTACATTGATATGGAATATCAGCCTGTTGTTCTGATTTTCAACTCCATGTTTGTATGGATAGGTGTTACGAACATAAATATATATCAGGTTATCAGAAGACGAAATAGATGATCTATAAAAAACAGACAACTGATAAACGAATTACGTTTCATAAGTTATTATTTTGCGAACTTTGGCTCGACACACCCTCGCTATTTTATAATATATGCTTTGCTGTGAAGTTATTCAATAGTAGTTATTTACATCTGTCATATTATTTTGTCGTGTAAACTGAAGATATTCAAGGCTTGTGGTCTTTTCTAACCATGAAAACAAAAACACAAACGGGATTCTAACCGAAACAATGAGTCATTTTGTGTATTTTGGTCATGACTGACATACATATGAATTTGACATATGTAAAGTTCATGTGAAACGTATGACCAACCTAGGTACACGGTATCGTGGAGAGGCAACTGAAGATGTTCATGCAATATAGTGAGTGGATTAATTGAAGTTAAACTTGTACACTATTGGTTACTAGTTCATTGATCTAGAGGTTAGGCGCTGAAGTCTACTGGATTCACTTCTTAGGTGCGCAGTTTTAAATCAGAACTGCTAAGGAGCTCCACACCCTAAGATGTAACAAACATATGTTGCCTCTATATTTATTTGTACAACGTGTTTTCACAGTTTTTTCATTATTTCATTGAACATTTATTATTTTTTATTTTAATGTAGAACTTCAAAATAAAATTGTGAAAGCATCCTTATCCATTAAATTGGAAAATCTCCCTTTTCTCTCCTACATCTATCTGATTTCCCTTTTTTTCTAAATTAAAAAAAAATTCAATACTCAAATAGAAAGAAAGGAAATCATGTCTATTTAGTTTTTTTGTGTATAATGGAGAATTTCAGGAAATAAATTTATCGAAATAATGATTGTTAATGTGTTGTTGACCTAATTCAATGATGATGTGTATCATGGAGTATTAGATTTGGAGATTGATTTCCTCCGAAAATTGAATTAAATTCAATCATAGAAAGTAATTGATTTTTTTTAAAAAGAAATTATTTAAAAAAATTTTTTTTTTGCGGGGTTTAGTTGTTTGTATGTTTCATTGCAACAATTTGAAAATAACATTTTAGTTTGAAAACCATTTTGTTTAGTTCTTACTAGTTTTGGAATCTTGAAGCACAGATTATTCGGATGGGGACAGTACACTTCAAGGTTGGTTAACATTATTGAAATCTCATGTACAGTTGACACATATGGTTGTAAGTGAACGCCTGGGTTTGGGGGCCTCAATAAATGATCATAGGATTTTTTTTGTCGATTTAAAATCAATTAAATAATTCAAAATTCATTTATTGAGTTATAAGTTTCGACTTTAATTTAGCTACCAGGATCTCAGTAATCAGATAACAAATTTATTTCTCAAAGTAGAGCATTGCATTAGTTACCCGAATGGATGATATTTATCTGCTTATTAATCAAGGTGATTGCAATAGTGATAGTGATAGTTTAAAAGTACAACAAGTTTACATCCATGGCAATAGTTTGGAGTTTCATGTCGTCTTACTTACTTATTTTATTTATGTTCTTAGAAGGGATGTCAGTATTCAGGAGTAAATTACCTGTTGCATTTTTTAGCATACATGCATTATGGGCAAATTGTTTTGGTTGAATAATATGATTCCAGCTATTACGAGTTCACCCTACTCGGTAACGGACCAAAGATTAAATATCGCGATAGGCTGCTCTAATCCGATCGTCCCAGGCCCCACTAACTAAAGGAAGAAGTCTTGATAAGACGTAGAGAAATGTATTTTACTGGAAACCAGAAAGTACAAGGTCCACAAGCACACAACTCAAGCTTAGTTATACAATGATAGAAACGCCGTTGGTGAGATCCAAAAGACAGCGTACTAAAATAATCCATCAACCAACGATAATTGAGGACTTCCCAAGTGTGGGAAGTGCAAGTTGAAGGTCAAAATGAGCGTCTTTGACGCGAAAACATAAAGTTCAATATTTCAGAATAAAATTACAAAATTAAAGTGTTTTCCAACTGAGTTCTGGGGACCTTACGTCCCTAACATTGAGTCATTTACTGTAAATTTCAATGTATTTAGATTGAAGCTAATGGGGGTTAGTAAGAACGCTTATTTAGTCTTATTTAAGAGTCGTTACCTGGATAAATGGGAATCTCAAAGTTGACGTTTAAATCGCCATTCGGATCTAGAACTAATTACTCTGAAAGCCACTTCAAAATAACAAAACTCCCTACCTGCTATAATAGTATGGGAACTTTTAAGGATTTATCGACCAA